GGCGGGGCCCAAAAAGCGGCAGGAGGCTGTCGCCGTTGCCGTTGCTGTTGCTGATGCAGTTGCCGTTGCCGTTGCATTTGCTGCCACAGACGCAGCCACAGACGACGCCACTTGTCGTGTCGTGTCTCAAATTAATTAAAGACTCATCTACATATTTCATTTCCACTCCAACTGGTTGGGCAGATACAAGAAAATGCGGAAAACCAAAAAAAAAAATAAGAAAACAGACCAAAACTAGACGCTGACCGCAACGTTGACAACGACATCGGGTCTGACTGTGACGCCGACTGCGACGCTGGCAGAGGCGAGCGCAGCGGGCGCCTTCAAATTGGCCTGTCATTGAGGCAGGCGAGGCTGCAGCGTCAAACGGAGGCGTGGCACCTTTACGAAATACACTCAAAAATAAATTTTTCTTTCTCTCGAGCTTTTAACAACTTCTTTAAAGAATTTTGACATGTTTTTAACGTGTTTTTTTTTTACTTTTACAACAGCTACAAATTGTTTGAAGTTTTTTGTGTTTCAAATTTTCACATTTGTTTTTGCTGTTCGGCTTGTTTTAATTTGTAAGAACAACATGCTACACACTTGCTGGCATATTTTCTATTCAAATCAGCTAAACTTTCACTTGGAAAAACTTTTGGAGCAAAGCAGCTTAACGGACGCGGACGCGGACTCGCCCGGTGGGCCCCATACTTTACACATTATTAGTCTGATTTAATCAAATCAAGGCACGCTCAAGTCTCTATGTTCATTTTTCATTAATGAATTGGGACTTGGGAGATATCATTCAAGATTTGGTCATGCTTTTAAACGGTAGCTTCCCCACTTATGTGGAATGGTCTGCCAGTGAAAGCCACTAAGACTTATGGATAGCTATAAATGCTCAGTTCTAATTCCGCACAGCTGGGGCTCTGACAAATCCCATCAATGTCTCCGCTTTTATCATAACAATAGATCGGAGACTAATCAAATATTTCTACAATATGCAATTCCTTATATGATTATCTTATTGTCATTTGTGGGCGTGGCAGCAGTGACAACAACTATGCCAATTTGTAGCAACCCCTAAGCATCAGCTGTCAATGGGTTTTAATAATTTATACTTATGCGCATTTTTCCTATCGGATATTGGCATCGGATATCCGTTGACAACCCCCAAAAAAACATATTAATGCAATTCGATTATTGGCAAAGCCTAACAATAGCTGCACTCATATCAGGGGGTTAAGCAAAGTAGAAAAAAGGTAGTCAACTGCATAAACTGTGTGCCAATAGAAGATATAAATTGATATGTTATTTATTTCAATATTTCTCGAGATGCTTTTAGGGGTGAGCCTGCTGTGGGATTTACCATTCGTTTTCACTTTTATGGAAGTCTCGCTTCCCTTCCCTTGGAGAATATAAGACGCTTATCTGAGTGGCCGCAGCTCTTTTGCTCTAAAGATTTATTGACTTTAAAGAGAGAACTCTATAAACCGCTATTAATTAGTGTTTAATAGCTGCAATTTTGTGGCACAAAGTTCATCTGTGCGCCAGCTGTATCTGTGAGATACAACTTTATTTTGATTGATATGCGCTGTCGCTGTGAATACTATTAAATTGTCAAAATACGTTGGCCACATTCATAAATTATAAATTATATGCATATATATATATATATATCCCTATAAATGTATAAAGAGGCAGAAAACATAAGTCGATCATAAAACCGGCGCACAGTAGTAAAAGCCCATTGTGTTGGCCTCTATAGGACTGCTGTCAAATTATGTTAAATAACCACGAAAAGCGCTGCATAAATTGTATTATATGTCACACATTATATTCTTTGTAGGCATAATTAAACATATAATGAAAATTACATTTTCAAATATATTCATGCATTTTTTATTTTATGTGCCTGATGAACATATTAAAAAACTGAAAAATAAAAAGTTTTGGAAGTTTTTGTTATTTTTGTCAACCTCTATTGAGGAGCCGATCATAAATTTGATCATTATCGACTGTCGAGTCGGCGACAAAGTCTCGAAATTAAGGCCTCATTAGCATAAATTGTGCGCCTGCAACGGTGATTAAACACGAAGGGGAAAATTTTTTGGTGAAGTTTGTCACATAACTCAATTTCGGACACTTTCGAGAACTTCGACTTTTGACAGTCATATTTTGACATTTTAATTATTGGAAGTGCGTGCCGTCGACTGACTTTTCTACGTGCTTAATATGTGAGCAATTTAAAGCAGCTCAGATGCGTGCCTTGAATTTCCGATATCCATTCGATTTGGATTCAAATTTTTTGATTCTGCATTTTGTTCCTGTTCGGCCCCACGAAACACTTCACAGTTGGTTCAATGAACTGTCGAGCAATTTGTGGGCTGCCAGCTCATTTATTGTTCAATAAATGATCATTTGGATATTTGTTATTATGCATTGATTTCACACCTCTGTGATGTGTAAAGAATTATCAGAGTCTCTGATATTTTTTTAGAATCAAATTTTACCAAATAAATTGCCTCATAAGCACATTGATTATTAGCTGTTTTTACTGTAAACAAAACAAAAGCTTATTAAAACAGTAAAGTTAATAATTTTTCAACTTCATAAAAAAATTAACAAATATTTTCCAAGCAAAATAACAAAAACCTGTATTCTAGCTGTGACAGACTCTTCAAAATTACAATTTTGCTCCAAATATATTTATAAAAATTTTTATATGAATTAAAATGAAAAATAAAAATAATAAAATAAATAAAAAAGTTCATCCGCGCACATTTTCATGTGCTAGGCCCCGGCGAGATTCGAACTCACGATCTCCTGTTTACTAGACAGGCGCTTTAACCAACTAAGCCACGGCGCCACATGCAAGCAGTGCTAACGAACAACCAATACAAGCAGCGCAGAGAACTTTGCCTATTGAGTATAAAGAATGAACGCGCACGCTCGCACGCAGCTATTGTTGTTGCTGTTATTACGTTTGGGGTTAAATATAGCACAACCCGAACAACAACAGTGTGAGCAAGAGAGCGAGAGCGGGAAAGAGCAACAAGAACAGCTAGCAGCAACAGAAATGCGTGGAATTTTAATATTTTTGAACGATTCGTTGTGCGTCCCACACACATAATTCGAACTAAAAGTGTTCATATGTTAAAAACATGAATTCATAAAAATATATATAAAAAAAAAAACAGATAAAAACAAGAAAAATTACTTATGTTAACTCGAGCTAAACAAATCGTTTTTTAAATGGGGCAAACCAAGTGAAATGCAACACCAAAAGCGCCATTTGGACACACGCAAAGTGAAAGGCTGTCACTTGCGACGAGCAACAACTACCCCTGCCACCAGCTGCCCCTGCTCAATTCTTCAGATCTGTAACAAATGAAGTGTAGCGCTTAGCATATCATTTGTTTTAGTTTTTCATTTCAGTTCATTTCATTTTCATTTTCATTTATTTCAAGGGGCGCAACGCTGCCAATTATTCATGGCTTCGATTTTTTGTAGGCTTTAGTTTTTGGGTGGGAAATTATAAATCAAGCAAAAGCCACAATTTTACTTTTATCCGGCTGCAACTTTATAATTTCCGTAATGCTGTAAATAAACCCAAAAGGCAAATGCATTTCACTTTGTTTAGTTTACGCAGCTGATACAGCTACGGATATGCTGGCTCGTAAATCGCAGAAGGCAATTCTTGTTTTGCGCCGCCCTGGCGTCTGCTTATCTTTGACACAGTTTTTAGCAGAGTTCTGTGCACGCATTTACCAGAGGCAACAAAAGTTTACGCCTACTTTCCATCTCATTTTCAGAACTTTCGGTTTCCATTTGTCACAGTTCACACAAATTGCCAAAAGTTTGCATCGTAAAGACTTAGTATCGCCTTGCCGGCCTTTTTCCATAAAGTTTTCCACAACTACATGACTATTTGGGGTATGCCAAGGCTTTCCCATTTCCTTTTAGTTTCGTGTAGCGCCAATCAGCCTGTGCTTCATAGTTGATCATTACTGTAGCGTAAACAACTCTTAAAAGCAAACACACACTGCGCGTCTCTCACTTGTTTTTGGCGTCAAAAATCAATTTTTCCATCACTCAAGTGGCCACTCAATAGTTTTTTTTTTATTTTTTGGCAGTCTAAAGCTACGAATCGTATTCCGGCATTAACTCCCCCAATCATATCTTTTTTTTGATTTTTTACTTTTGGGCTGCTTTGATGATATCCGCGGCAGCTGCCAAGACTTCTTCAATTGGTTCATAACAAGCTGCAGTTCAAGTATTTATAAAAATCTTGTTTATTATGGCATAAAGTGCATAAGGTTCATTGAACGAGTGTGTGCGAGTGTGTGTGTGTGTGTGTGTGTGGTACAAAGTGCTGACACACTTTGGCCAGGCGATTGGTAAATTGACAGGCAGACAGAGTCGAGCGGGCGGTCCCTGCGGCCACACAAGTGGTTTGACCTTTACACAACTTCTGAACTTGAAATGCTTTGCAGCAATTTCAATTAACCTCAAAATATGCGATTTATAGCCTCGCTTTAGGCCGCAACGCCCCATTGTACAGTTGACAAATTTGGCACAGCAGTGGCGCTACCCGCTAAGCTCCTCGTCTATCGCAGTTCTTGCTTTGATTGAGTGCGCGAGTTCGAGTGCGGAGGGCGTATTTTGCTTAGTTTGATTAAATGTGGTTTTTATAGTTTTTCTTTCAATTTTTTTATGGATTCGTAATATTCGAGCTGGGCAGGTTTCTTTTTGGCTTGCTGCAATTTCTTTTGACAGCATTTAAAAGTGTCAGACTTTTAATTAACAGCTTTGGCAGCTGGGTCGGGCCTTTGGGCATGACATCCTGACACACTGGTTCTGGTTGGGCTAATCAAGCGGCTTTTGTGTTCAGCTCTTATGCATGCATGGATTTGTATATGAATTCAGATATGGTGTATATATTATTTTTGGGCATCTGCTCGCCGCTGGAAATTGATTGATAATTAATTAATGACCTGCTTTCTTTTCTCTTGCAGCCATTCTGCAGCGCTCGACTGTGGATGTGGGTCGCATTAAGATACAAAGTGTGGCAACCTGCCTGTATCTGTGCATGGATGCGTGTGGCGCGGCCTATGCCTCGGTAAGTAAACAATGCAATAGGTCTGTCTGCTCAGATTCCAAATGGTCTTTGGCAATTTATAGATTTGAATTGAAGTTCCTTTTCAAGTATTTCCATAATATATGTTATCATGTTTAGCCATGTTCATTATACATATATCTCCAGCTACAATTAACTAATTATAATTCTATTTTAATTCGATCTTCTTTTTCAAACTTAATTCACGAATATTTTATAGCTTCTCTATCGGAATGCGACCTAATTATTTTGTTTGTTTCGCCATATGTCGCACAGTAGTTCAATGAATATAAAAGTGATGTATTGTTTGTTGCTCAAAATTATTATTTCAATTACAAATTATGTAGCCTTATCAGCAAGTGAAGCGGCAAATTTCGATGATAGCCAACGACAATGGCAAAACAAACAAAAGACCCACAGAGAACGAAACAAACATTAAGTGCTATAAATAACAAAATTAACTGAAGTGCACAACAACAAAAGGCAGACGTGCGCAGGACATACGTGAAGATATCCTTTGGGCCAACCCTTGTTCTGATTATTCCCAAATTCGATTTGGTTTTAGTTTCGCTTTTTCTTTTCCTTTTTTTATTTTGTTGGTTCTTTCTGGGGTGCTTTGTCAAGTGGCAAGTGAGTCGGGTCGTGGCATGTCCTGTCGATAATTAATGTGACACTTTTTCGTGGTCGCCGGGACGCCCCGCTGCAGTACGCGTCGCATTTCTCGCCGCCTGGCGCCAAGCGACTGCATTTGTTCTTCTTGTTATTGTTGTTGTTGTAGCTGAGCATTTGAGTTTTGTCGTCGCACTTTGACCTTTTCGCATGCGCAGCCAAAATAGACACGTTTGTGCCAATTCTGTCAGGCGCGTAACGGCGCGTTTTGTATCTGACAGATACATTCGCAGCCATAGCTGTAGATACTTTGGTGTTGATTGATGCGCCTCAGCGGACACAGTAACTGTGTCTGCTTCTAGTGCGTTGCGGTCCTTTGATGGCGCCGCATTTCAAACATTTTCACTAAGTTGGTCAAGTGGGCGTTGTGGCTGGGCGGCCTTTGTTTATTTAGATTTTTTTTTTTTTTTGGCGACTATTCGACAGAATCAAACAAGAAGCAACCAGAAGGGACTTTGTCTCTCTCTCTTTTCTCTCTCTTTCACATCCACTTTCATGCTCTCTCTTTCTCTAAAATTAAATTTGAAGTGGCCGAATCTAAATTTCATGATTTCCGCCGAGTTTCTTACTTTTTGTTGGCCAACGGAAGCGACATCAATTTGTATTGTCTGACATTCAAGTTTCCGGCCAATCCCAGGCAAATCTAGTTTCTAAGTTGAGCGCACATGACTTTAAGTTAATTTAACATTAATCATTTGTATGAATTAAAAATATAATATATTATAAAAATATTATATATTATTATTTTATTATTATTATTTCTTGCCATGATATATTGAACTTCTTAGTCAATAAAAATAAATTCTTCAAATGAAAGGCAAGTGTAAAAGAAAGTTTACTGATGAAAGAGCTGAGCAGGCTAGAAGCCTAAAGCTTGATCAGGCTCAGCGCCTCTTTAACAGCATTATTAGAGCTAGTGGCAGGGTTTATACAAATTAAAAAAATTGTATATGTTAAATAAAAAATATATTTATTAAAAAAAAAATTTAATATATATATATATTTTTTAATAAAATCTAATTTAATAAATAAATTAAGATAAAATATAAATTTTTATAAATATTACATATTTTTTAAATATTTAAATTGTCAACTAACTTCAAAAAAATATAAAAAATCGTTTAATTTTTAGTTTATTTGTTTAATAAAACTCAGCTGAATTTGCTATGCAACTCTCATGCATTCAACAATTTGTTGACGATTTATTGCAGCTATTTTTATAGTGCGATAAGCAAATAAAATCCCCTGCATCTGGCTCAAATAGTCATTTAAATATGTATATATATTTACAAATTTCCATTAGAGACATTTTCTCAGCAGTTTTAAAATAGATTTTCATGCACTTGCGAATAGTTTGGTTGGCTTTCCGCCCCGCGTTTCAAATGCCAGCCACATTCTGATCTTGTGACCGTCTGGCAGCTGATTTGATTAGCTGCCTAATGGGGCAGCTAATTGAAAACCCCAAACGTTTGCCAATTCATAAATTTCTTCGAGCACAAAGCAAAATGACAGAGTAAGAGGGAGAGGGAGGGTGGGAGGTAGAGGCGTGTGAGTCAGCGCTGTTGGCCAATTAAAATGTTTTAGCCATAAGTATATAAATGTGATTATTAATTTGCATAATTTGAACTGCGACTGGAATCTCGAGGTAAGCGGACCGCCCGCAGCGGCCGCCTGCTACACGGCGATCAATTAATGCCCTGTCATGCGAGGCAGCATCAGAGGCCAATGAATATGTTGCCGCATTATCATTGTTATGGTCCTGTTTAAGCTGATAGAGTTGGACCCCAAAGAATGTGGTTGGGCTCGTGTGGTACCGTTCCGCATACCCTGCAGGCATTGGCAATTGAGTTGAGAAAAGGGGTATTATGATTCTGAATCAGTTGGGGACAGGAGGCTCACCCATTCCATTTCTTATACATCTTCTGTCTTCTATAGGTCTGAAGACTTTAAATATAGTTCCTTGCACGTTCTTGCCCAATACAACGCGATGCTTATGAGATTTAGGGGCGTATTCGTTGCTATGTCGGTACAAAGATTGGTAGTAGAGTATCTGTTAGTCTATCACATGCTACTAGTTGCTCTCGTCTTGTTGTAGGCGTGTGTCTCAGCGCTGACCCTTGACCCTTTCCACCTGGCGCCAGCTTTGATAAGCGGCAAGTGCTCAGCTAATGGCTTAGATACGTTCGCATTTACAGCTATCTCTGAAGCGTACAACTTCATTTCCTTTGGCTCTGACTGCAATTTTCACTTAATTCAAGGCTAAAATTAGACGAGGGAAATAAAAGGCAAGAAAAGAATAGAAAATACATAAAAGACGCTTCGAGCGAGTCACGTGCGCCCTGCCACATTCTGTTGTCATATGTGTCAGAAAATTAGTCTAGCCCGCGGCCTCTTTTCTGGAAGACCTTTGAAATGGCGTCAACATTTCAAGCGCATTTCGCAGACTCTCTTCAATGCCGCCCTGGCTAGTCAATCCCTCCCAGTTGATGCCTCATTTCATATCAAATTGGTGTAGAGAACGGCAGTCGGCGCGACATTTGGGCTGATTAATTTCTAAATTTAATCGTCGACATTTCCACATGGAAGTTGAGTCTCGCAACAATTTTAATTGCCTGACAAGCGAATTAATTCAATGTTGTTAATTGAATTTGATCTAAAGCGCTCAGGCGGCGCATCTAAAGGCCACAGATGCACTCCCAGCACAGTTCCCAGTTGCCAGTTGCCTCAATCCTTTGTAGCTGCTTTACATTTCTACCTAAACGAAAATAATTGAAGTCTGCGACTTGTTTTGTTGTCCTTTTGTGCGGCTGTCATGTGGCATTCATAAAGTAGGCAACTTTATGGCCAGGGTCAGGGTCCGGGTCAGGGTCATTGGCAGAGTCATCGTCAGGGTGCCGGCGTCTATCGATCGCCAACGCCGATAGCGAGCACATCCTGTGATAATGAGCACATTTATCTAACAGATATCCATTCCAGGCAGATACAAAAGAGGCCACCGCCAACAGCCGGCAGCAAGGTAGCCATCAAGCACTTAGTTCTCTATACAAATAGGCTTAGGGTTTCTCGCTAAACTTCAGTCCAGTTGTTTGTTATGCATATGAGCAGACATCAACGCAGCCATTCGATGTCGTATTAATCTCTATGCGATGGCAATTCTATGTATTATGCATAACAGCATGGATTCCTTTTCCGTAAATAGTTCATCAAAATATCTAAGCGGAGCTGCTAGAAATTCGTTAAACACTCTTTAAAAAGTTCTGTTTCTCTGTCAACAGCAGCTGTTAAACATCAAAAGAAATGCTAAATTTATGCTGTATTAACTGATATTTGTACGTGATGTTAACTTAATATGTATATTGACAGAAATGTTGCTGTTAACTTCTGTTTTAACATACGTCCAAATGCTGTTAACATTACATATCTATTAAAAGAAATGTTAAGTTCATTGTGCGTCACTTCTGACTAGCATATATATGTACATGTATATACTGTTAGCATTGTAGACATGTTAAGGTTAGCTAACAGAATATGTATATTGCATGAAGTATTGCTGTTAAACAACTTTAACTTTAACATATATGTTAAAGCTGTTAACATTTCAGGTATATCATATGAAATGTTAATTACATTGTCAATCACTTATAACATATATTTATATGCACATGTAAATTCTGTTGACTTAGCATTGACATGCCCATATATGTGCACAATTAACATGCTGTTAGGCTATGTTAACATAATATAACTTAAATAACTATTGATTTAATATATATCCTAATCCCAAGACTTTTTAAGCAAATGTTAAGTACAAATTTATTCACTGTTAACTCACAATAATTTCTATATGCATATAAATACTGTTAACTGTACAGGCATATCCACAGTTATGTTTAATAAAAAGACATTTGCAAAATTAACATCTTTAGAAATGTTACTAACAGTTCTGTTTCTATAAGTCTTACACTGTTAAGTATTAACTATAGACACCAGGCTCTAGGTTTTAACGTATTTATATATTGCCTATTTTCTAGCCAAATAATTTAATTCTAGTTCTCAACTGTTACAGAAAGAATTCGACGACAACTGTGTGTTCAATGAGAACATGGAGCTGCACAACTACAACACATACTCCTCCACATACAACTCGAATGCGAGACGTGTGTTCTACTTGGCGCTAACTGGTCAAGGTGCGCCGCGGCGCACACAAATTCCGGCGACCAGGACATTGGGCAAGCTGTCCACCTACACGAATGCAATCACCGAGACGGTGCCGCAGCAGCGGGTCGAGCAGCTGATAGCCAAGAACTTTGGTGCCAATCGCGTCAAGCATGGCGTGCGCCAACTCTGTGATACCGGCAAGCCGCTGATTGAGCTCATCGATGCGGTGCACTTTAAGCCGCGACCCAAGTGCAGCAGCAGCAGCGGCAGCGGCAGCAGCAGAAGCAGCAGTAGCAGCAGCAGTAGCAGTAGCAATAGCAGTAGTAGTAGTAGCAGCAGTAACGTTCCTGTGCCTGCGTACAGCGCCAGCAGCCTGATTAGTATTAGTAACGGTAGTCAAAGCGACAGCGGCCATATTAGCAGTAGCATTAACAGTAGCAGTAGCAATAACAATAACAATAACAGTAGCAGTAGCAATAGCAGTAACCTTAGCAGTAATATTATCCAGCACAAGAAGAAGAAGAAGCTGCGCAAGTGCCGGCCACACGAGCAGGAGCACACGCACAATTGCCAGAGGCGTATCGCGCCATCGCGCGGTCCCAAGGCTCAGGCGTGCAAGGACCTGCGCGACGAGGCAGCCAGAACCGGTGCGCCGCCGCCCAACTGTGGCAAGAAGTCCGGCAGCCCAGCAGCTAAACGCAAAGCAGCTGCAGTGGCAGCGTCTGGGGGCGGCGCCAAAGGCGCCATGCAAAGACCTAGGGCTGGCGGCGCGGCTGGCAAGCGAAAGGCGCCCAAAGTGGGCGCCAAGCAGCGACTCAACGGGCCCAAAAGGCAGCGGGCAGGCAATGCCAGCAAGCGTAATAATACGCGCAAGCTGCAGCGTCTGCTTGAGCTGAGCAGCACGACAACAAGAACAACAACAACGACGAGCACTACAATGGCCAGCAGCCTGGCAACGCCGGGCTACAGCAACGGCAACAGCTGGGAAAGCAGCTCTCCGCTGCCCGCTCTGGCGCTCAGTGAGACGAGCGATCGGGTCGAGCGTAATGTGCGCATGTCCCAAGCTAGCGTTGAGGAGCCACAGAGCGAAGATGATGCGGGCGAGGAGGACGACGAGCTGCCAGAGCTGGACTCGCAGGAGGAGCCAGAGAACAGCTACGAGAATGCCACGCTGGAGGGACAGGCGCGCGGCTCCGCCGTGGACGATTCGGTCTACTACGATCAGCTTGATTTGTGAGTTTGCCTTGAAAAAAGAAACAAAATATACAAAAAAAACTAATACAAATTATTTTCAAAATTTTACAATTTTCCAAATTTATTTCAAAATTCAACATAACTTATCGAATTTGTTATTGGCATACTTCTTTATTATTATCTAATTGGCATTAACTTTTATCTGTTTACATTTCTCACATTTTGTACTGTTGCGAAATTATTATTTTTTGGTTGTTGTTTTTGGTTTTTATCAATTTTAATATTTTTTTAAATAATCCATTTCTTAATTTTTTCAAAAATTGGTATATTTGTATTGGTATTTTGAAAGCGTACAAAATGTGTCAATGTGTTTAATTGAATATTTGTTTTTTTGTTTTCTAATTTTTTGAAGGCATTAAAATGGAATTGCATAAAGCAAATATTAAGTAATCCCACACTATATGACTAAGAAATCGAGCAAGATCTTGTAAAACGTTTGGCTTGAGTATGCGATATTGTACTTTGCAAGTTTTCATACATACCCACAAACACACAAACACACACACACATACACGCAAACACACCGACAAACGCATTACACTGCACCACACATACTACAAAACACCGCATCACTTCTATAATAAATATATATGCATAGATCATGTGTATATATACTGTGTACCCAACGACTGTGGTTCAAAAAGTATTTTTGATGCAGCGCACAGAGATCGACACCTATCGATAACACTAACAACTCGTTAGCGCGCCTGCAATCGATCACGAATAAGAATATCAAAACAAATGATGTATTACTACAAAACGGAGTCTCGAGTATTTTCTGTTTAAGTGTTTTTTCCATTGGCACAGATCCATATGTAAAATATATATATGCACTATATATACATATATATATATATATATATATATATATCAAATTGCACGCTCATATTATACTTTATTAACTATTTTACTTAACGAACAAATAACTTTACTAGCCAAATATATTTATTCTAGCTATTTACAGGCTATTCGAAATACTTGAGTCTCTGCCCTAACTCTATTCAACAGATAACATAAATAATACTCAAAAATACGACCACTCAAAAATGAAAAAAAAAAAACAAAACAAAAACTGAAACAATGCAAAGCTTGCAAAAAGGTTATGAAACATGTTTTCCTTATACATCAAAATAAAATGTTATATATAAATATATATATATATATATGAACAACAAGAGTCTATATGTTTGTGTGACAATTCGAATAGTTCGCATGCGAAAATTGGTTTGTAAATAGATTTACGATTGCGATCAGTCAGCTGATTATTATTATATGCATATATGTATATCTCCACATACATACGAATATATATATTCATATATTCAAGTTAATTGTGGTATTGTCGAATTCGAACCTCGCTGCCTCTCAGTGCGTAGTTTAAGCTATGTAAACCAATCTTAATTGCGGCAAAAAAAAAAAAAAAAAAAAAAATAAAATAAAAAATACAAAACGAAAATTATGAAAGCCCTAAAGCCATAAACGAAACATTAAAGCCAACGAAACAGAACGAAAAATAATAAAAAAAAAAAACTAAAAGAGAAAATTAAAAGTCTTAAAACAAAAACTCACAAATCAGAAAATTGTATTTTAATTAAAAACTAGAACTAACCTGTAATTATTTTAATGTATTTGCGTGAAATTATTTGATATATATTTAATTTAATGTTATTTTAATAAATATATTTTTAGGTTATTAATTTATTATATTTTACTTGACACGAAAACGTAAAACATTTATTTATAAATCTTAAACTAAGCCCAAAAACATTGTAGACTAACAAATTCTTGTAGTAATAATAAAACGTACGACGAAAAAAAATATATAAAAAATATATAAAATTAAGATTATAAAAAATTAAAACCAAAATTGTTTTTGCAATTGAGTGGAAAATAAATTTACAATCAAAAGAAAATAATATTTTAATGGTAAGCGTGAAGTAGCTAAAAGAAAAGTAGTTAGAAAAATTTATGAACTTTTCAATTCTCGTTGGGTTGTTTAATTTTTTTTTTTTGCATGGTATTTAAAAAAAATTAATTCATTTGGCATTTGGCACGAAACAAAACACAAAACAAAAATTATTGAAATGCAAACTACAAAATTTCATAATAATATTTGATATTTGGCATGCGATTCATTTTTATGCCTCTTCCTCTGTTAGTTTATAATGACCTTTGCGAAAATATTATTAAATTCCACATCCTGTGCATCTTCCAGCCTCCAATTGTTGCTGCTGCAGCTGCTGATAATGCTCTGTGTGGAGCGCAGTGCCGCCCTCTGAGTCTCCGGATAATACGACAACCACAAAGCAGCCTAGATGCACCCACCGATATGCACTTGCTATAGTTCCTGATCTAATGTAGCCATAAGTGACTTCTGCAAACTGTACATACGCATACATAGATCTTACTTATAGTGATTAGATGAACACGATTTTTGTTTAGCTTAAGCAAATTTATTATATATTTTAAGACTGAAGACTATGGATATTTCAAGATATTCAAATTTCAACAAATAAATTATACTATGCTTAAAACATTCTACAAATATTAATGGTTATTTACTCCGAGTGCTTTTCGATTTTAACTGATTTATCTGGACTGGAAAAGCAAGCAAGACGAACAACTGCCAGCCAAGCATTAACCAGATGGAGACGCTCTCTCTCTCTCTCTATGTCTGTTATTATCTCTGTGCAGCTATCTCTGTCGGCGACAGTCAAAGACCTTTCTGTTGCCGTAATAGACAAACAAGCTAGCACGTGTGACAATAGCCATGATCATGTGGTGTGCGGTATGCGCTTAGCTATAATTGAATAACAGGGAGAATAATTACAATTTGCGCTCAAATTGCGACCAACAATTTTATACAGAATGCCCCGTAGCGAAAATAAATGCGAAACGAGGAGACTCTGCACCCACAAACCCCAGACCCACTTCCATACACATACATACATATGTGTGGCTATATACATATGTGAGACAAGTCACGTAGGCCTTGAAATGGCGAAATTATGACGACAACTGTTGTTGCGCGCTTCTGCTGCTGTTATTGCTGCTGCTGCTGCTGCTGTCGTTGATCGCTCAAGTTCCCACATTCCCGTATTCATTCATTCAACGCTGCTGAAAATTTCGCATGAATAGACGAAATCTGAGGCAGAATATGGGCAAACGCAGCAGCCAAAGCACAAAAGCTCATCAGCACTTGGCAACAAACAGAAAACAAAAGTGCTAGAGATGACAGCGGGTCGATGTGTGAATGCTACTCCTAGGCAGTATTAATAAGACTATTATTGATTGAATAACTTAAATAGAATGAAGACACGATTCAAGAACGCAGGACTCAATATTCGTCTTATTATATGGCATTGGCAACTCATCGCCATTATAAACAATTTATGAATGAATGCACAAGAACATAAAAGATTCACAAATTCTTCGTGCTCAAAGCTCATCGGCCTTTCAATTGCCCCATCTCTAGAGTTGAGGCAGCAAAAAAAAAGTACAGAAATCAGCATAAAGCATAAAGCGCAAAGCATGAAGGTTGATGACGTCGCAGTCAACGTCGCAGTCGACGTCACTCGGCACACGCATTGTTACAAATTTGTCAGAAAAAAAGAAAGAGAACAAAATAAATATGATACATATTTGGTGCTGTGCTTATCAGTGAAATCTGAGAAATCATAATGACACTGCGAAGGTGCCGGCGCTTGCTCTCCCTGCTGTTCTTACGAAACTCTCTCTCCCTGCCTATCTGATTTTCTTTGCTCTCATTCATTTCGCATTGTGTTGATAAAAGTGCTGTCGTCTGATTAGAAGTCTGTGGAAGTTCAAATAAGAATCCACCAGCTGTCGTTGTTGTTTTTGTTTACCTTTCACTTTTGCCGTAATCGCATCAGCTGGTCGCGCCGGCCTTCCCGTTTCTAATTGGACTATTGCTGTCATGTGCTGGACATAGAAGACATGCTTTTACGTTTTGTAACGCTTATCATGGGTTATTTTGTAACGGCTTTTAATTCGAATTGGTATTGGGTCGCGTGTAACTCGTTTGTATGAAGAGTATTTAATAAAATTTGCAATTATGATGCAATATGATAGGGAAGCCTTGACAGAACTAAACCGACTTCTGAATCTTATTTGAAAAGTTTTTTCTTTTGTTCGTATTGAATTAGGGTATTACATATTCGGCTTTACCTCCAGTTACTTAAGCTGCATACGTCTGCAATCGATTGTTTATTGGCTTTCGCAGTTTCGCTCAAATTTATGGCCGTTCGAGTGTACAGTTTTTGATTTCTAGTTTTTGCATGGGTGCTACGCTGTCTACGTGACGTATAGAGAATACACCACAGCAGGTAATACTCGCCCCAGCAGCAACAGCGGCAGTGGAACGGAACAGCTGGTTCGCCACCTGAACTGCAATTACTGAATGTCAATATCAATGCCAATGCCAATGCCATTATTAGAAGGCGAATATAATGCAGAGATTAGATAGCCAATATAGCCAACCGGTTAGTCCCGGGTTAGTCAATATAGCTGTGTGAATTTCATAAACGGATATCGGAACTTTGGATCAATACCCAACGTGTTTTAGTTAGCCTGAATGGGGAAGCATCATTCATTTCTTAAATGGTTCTCACATAAACTTAAAGAGGCTTAGATAGTTAGGCGCCGGCATTTCCTCCACTTGTATTAATGTTTTGACAGTTACTTAAAGAAGTGTGGCAAAATGATATGAAAAGTGTTGAGAATTGATCAAATTCAAGTTGATTTCAATTAAATAGATTTTAATCAAGGCAACATGACGGAAATGTCAGCATTATTCATGATATTCATATAACTCCTCTCCTTCCCTATATCTTGCCCCTTTGTAGGTTGCCTTTCTAGTTCATAGCCTGCATTTGCGTGAATATGATGAATATGCTTAATTGGATTAGCGTCAGCGACTTTTGTCCCGGCTCCTCTTGCTTTTCCAGTTCTCGACAGCAGCCGCAGTCGCAGCCGCAATCGGTGCACAGCCGGGAAGCTAGTAAATGCTAATGCCGAAACCCGATTGCATAACATGTCAGTTCGTATTTTCGATGGGACGCGTGTGAAAATTACAATTTAGCTGCGTTTAGTTAGTGTCAAGATGCACCCAGCATAATATATCCAAAAGACTTTACTCTTTTCAATAGCTTGTCAATCAAATGTGGAGAAATATTAAGAACGATAATAATATTAAAAAATAAAAAATTAGTTTGGAGATGCGGGGCATCGATCCCCGTACCTCTCACATGCTAAGCGAGCGCTCTACCATCTGAGCTACATCCCCATGTGAAAATATAACAGCTGTCTTTATACTTAAGGGCTTTTTCACTATATGAAACCGGTTTAAAATAGCAACAGTAGACAAGCCCTTGACAGAGCCAAAAAAGCTTTCTCTGCGGGAGCTTTTTAAGCTTCATTTTTTGACAAAGAGAAATTGCCTATAGAAATAACACCAAAAAGTTGTTCCCGCCCGGGTTCGAACCGGGGACCTTGTGCGTGTGAAGCACACGTGATAACCACTACACTACGGAAACCTGTGAAAGAGGAGCAGCAAAACGACATCCAGTTTGCAAAGTGAATAAAACCCAAAGGCTAAGGAGACATCGTTAAATTAAAATCGAACCTGAACGAGGGCGAACTTTTGAAATTAAATAGGAAATTATAGCACTCTAGCAAAATAAACAAAGCCATTAAAACAACAAAGTCTCTTAGATGCTTCGTAAAAGCACTGCACACTTTTATATATAGCTATATATACGAGAACTTTATATTGTTAATTG